TGTAGCGGGGAACCACTACCATGTACTGACCATGATCGTTAGTCTTTTACGGATGATCTAGTCATCCAGAAGAAAAGTGACCAAGGAATTGGTGGAAATTCGCGTGAAAAACGGTTGCCTCATTCGTCTCTTGTCCGGTGCTATCTGACTTTTTCCGCTCGTGTCTCTCCTTTTTTGGAAAACTATAAACAACGTGAGAACTATCGCACGCAAGTGCAGAACCCCACAAATCGTAAAGTTCACAAACAAAAATATGAGCGTGATAATCCTGAATTAAACAATTTGCTATCAGTGAAAATAATCTGAATAATTGAGTATTACAGAAAATTCTAATAATTATTATTATTTATCATTTCTTTCTTTTCAATATAACAATTTCGATTAACAAATATTCTTTAGAACTGGAGTCTATACCATTACACCATTCCGCCTACATTCTCTTTATTCCCTGCTGCTCCTCTCTTTGGTTCTCTTCCTCTCTTTTCCTCATCTTCTCTCTCATTACCTTCTGCTTCTCCTCTCTTTCGTGCTCTCCCTCTTTCTTCTTCACCTTCTCACTATCGTCTGCTTCTCTTCTCTTTCGTTCTCTTCCTCTCTTTTTCTCACCTTCTCTCTTTTTTTGTCTGCTTCTCCTCTCTTTCATCCGCTTCCTCTCTTTCATCCGCTTCCTCTCTTTTTTCATTTTCTCTCTCTTTTTTCGTCTGCTTCTCCTCTCTTTCGTTCTCTTCTTCTCTTTTTCTCACTTTCTCTCTCTTTATCGTCTACTTCTCCTCTCTTTCGTTCTCTTTCTCTCTCTTTCTCACCTTCTCTCGCTCCATTCTCTGCTGCTCCATATTCGGTTCTCTCTCTCTCTCTCTATTCCTCTTTCTCTTTCTTGATCGATCTCTCTTCCCGGAGAAAGGCCAGCCTATGCACTGGCCCAATTCAACCGATATTGTAATTCTATTTACAACTGATCTGTTGTAAACAAAACAAAAACAAAATCTTGATGGTAGAACTGTTTTTAACCACGATCTCGTGAACAACTTTAACCGTAAACAAATTTTGCCAACATCTGATAGGTAGAAATTATAATGATTTATTATATTATTATTTCTGTTATCTACATCCGAATACTAAGTATCTTTCACATTCAGCTTTATTGATTATGGCTCCTCTATTTCCTTATGATAACTCCATGTTTTTTATATGATCAGTCAATCAATAGCTTATAAGTCACATAATGACCATATTCCTATCTCAAATTTTACTTATATATCTACTAACTTGAGGTTATTCTATATTACCTATGTTCTACGTATAGTCTACTCATCATTAAAATGGCAAATTATTCACTAGTTGGACAGTTTATATATTTTTTCTACAAAAAATGAAGAATTTTCGTATTAATGCACATTTTAAATAAAAAATATTTCACGTGAGTTTGTAAGGCTGCTGTTTTTCTTCCGTTTAAGTTTATAACAGCATCATCTGTTTAAAACAATTCTCTTGTACATAGCCCGCACCTGATCTTATTTGCGAGCCCGATTTATTATTCATCTACCATTTATTTATAAACATTAATCATTACCTTAATTTATGCTATAGTTGCCCCAATTCTCACCATTTGGAGTAGCATTGTTTCAAAATTTACAGTGTAATTGTTTTCCAATTTTACGCTCATATTACGGTTATAGGAACATGGTCCCCCATTTACCCCACCATCCCCCGTAGGTACGGTGGCATGGTCCCCCAATTATCCCACCGTCCCCCACAGTTACGGTGACATGGTCCCCCATTTACCCCACTATCCCCCACAGTTACGGTGTCTCCCATTTACCCCCACATCCCCCGCAGGTACGGTGACATGGTCCCCCATTTTCCCCACCGTCCCCCACAGGTACGGTGACATGGTCCCCCATTTATCCCACCGTCCCTCACAGTTACGGTGTCCCCCATTTACCCTACATCCCCTACAGGTACGGTGCCCCCCATTTACCCCACCGTCCTCCACAGTTACGGTGTCTCCCATTTACCCCCACATCCCCCACAGGTACGGTGACATGGTCCCCCACACCCCGATGGGCAAGATCGTGGGTGGGGTGTGCTCGCTCTCGGGTGTACTCGTGATCGCGCTGCCCGTGCCTGTCATCGTCAGCAACTTCTCCCGCATTTACCACCAGAACCAGCGCGCTGACAAGCGTAAAGCTCAGAAGGTGAGTGGTTCGCGAGCCAGAACCATGCAATTAGCATTTAAAACTTTAATTATTTTGGTATATTCCATCAAATTCCAGTTATTTCTTAGTCATTTACCACCAGAACCAGCGCGCTGCCAAGCGTAAAGCTCAGAAGGTGAGTGGTTCGCGAGGCAAAACCATGCAGTTGGCATTTAAACTTTAATTATTTTGCGTAAAGCTCAGAAGGTAAGTGGTTCCCGAACCAGAACCATGCAATTAGTATTTAAAACTTTAATTATTTTGCGTAAAGCTCAGAATGTAAGTGGTTCGCGAGGCAAAACCATGCAATTAGTATTTAAAACTTTAGTTATTTTGGTATATTCCAACAAATTCCAGTTCTTTCATAGTCATTCACATAACAATCAACATTAACTAATTCATTACTGTGGAATAATTCATAAATATGCGTATTAAAATAATCTATGAGAATCTATTAGCAATGTCAGCATTCCGGCGAACGAATGTATTTGCTTTAAAATATTTATATTAACATTAATTTTGTTGTTATTAATAAGAATTTTGTTATTATCTAGGAAAATTTTATTATTATCAACAATAATTTTGTTATTAGCAACAATAATTCTGTTATATCAACAACAATTTTTTATTATCAACAAAAATTTTGATATTATCAACAATAATTTTCTTATTACCAACAAAAATTTTGTTATTATCAACAATAATTTTGTTATAATCAACAAATTTTTTTTATTAACAACAAAAATTTTGTTATTAACAACAATAATTTTGTTATTAGCAACAATAATTCTGTTATTATCAAAAATTTTCTTATAAGCAACAAAATTTTTTTTATTATCGACAATAATTTGGTTATTATCAACAAAAATTTTGTTGTTATCAACAATAATTTTGTTATTACCAAAAATTTTCTTATTATCAACAAATTTTTTTAAAATTTTTTTTATTATCGACAATAATTTGGTTATTATCAACAAAAATTTTGTTATTATCAACAATAATTTTGTTATTACCAAAAATTTTCTTATTATGAGCAAAAATTTTGTTTTTATCAACAAAAAATTTGTTATTATTAACAATAATTTCGTTATTATTACCAATAATTTTATTCAACAATTGACGCTATTTATCATAACCGGACGAACAGAAGGCGCGGTTAGCCCGCATCCGCATCGCGAAGGCGTCGAGCGGCGCAGCGTTTGTGCTGAAGAAGAAGGCGGCGGAGGCTCGCATAGCAGCGCAGGAGAGCGGCCTGCTCGACGACTACGGCAAGGAGGAGGACATCTTCGAGCTGCAGCACCATCATCTGCTGCGATGTCTCGAGAAAACTACGGTCTGTATATACTTAATGTTCTTTTTAATGTGTTTAATAATGTTCTTTATAACGCTCTCAACATCTTCGAGCTGCAGCACCACCATCTGCTGCGATGTCTCGAGATAACTACGGTCGGTATATACTCAATAATAATAATAATAATGTTCTATACCGCTCATAATATCTTCGAGCATCATCAGCAACCGTTACGCAGCCTCGAAAAAACTACGGTCTGTATATACTTAATAATGTTCTTTATAATGTGTTTAGTAATGCTCTTTGTAACGCTTTTAACGTCTTCGAGCTGCAGCACCACCATCTGTTGCGCTGGTCGCAAGAAAACTACGGGCTGTATATAGTCAATAATGCATTGAAAAATGCTGTTAATATGACTAATTATGGCTAAATAACATTCTTGATACCCGTTCAATAGAATGCTCTTATGAAAGCTCAATAACGGTTTAATAACGCTCCTTATAACGATTTAATAACTATTTTAGTAACGCTCTTAATAACGATATTAATAACGCTAATGAACATGATCTTAATAACAATTTTAGTAAAGCTCTTAATAACGTTTAAATCATGCTCTATTGAAGGTAATTTTCGTTTAGACAAGATTTATTGATAGTCGCGGGTCACACATACCTCATTCATGAATGTGCACATGTATAGACAGTCATCAAAATTTTGGTTCATGCATCGAACTCAGTGCATTCAATGTGCAAAACTGAGCAGGTTACATAATATTAATAGCCCTTAACACATTTACGAAATCAGTAATCAGAGTGTGTTGGTTTATTATTTTATATATGCAATAGCAACCCATACTACAAAAGATTTTTTGTTCGAAGTACAAAATATTTTTAACTCTGTGCAAAAATGAAATGTTATTCTCTAAATAATTATTAAAAATACTAATTCAAAGCAAGTTCGAGTACGAAATAAGAAAAAAAAATATTTCCCGCTCCGAAAAACCTTACCCAAAAGTAGTTAATAAAAAAATTATGGAAACGAAATATTTTCTATGAAGATATAGTTACTTTTATCGTAGTTTTCTTTGTTTTTAAATTTCTATTCTAACAAGTTATGGACTAAGGAATTATTTTAAATCTATTGCCACCCTTTAAGTCTTCAGTCACCTTGAGTCGACTTCAGCCATGACTCAATTATCTTAATTGAGATCCAGGAAACTAATCAAGAGGGATCAGTTGACAGAATCCCACTTAATTGACGCAGCAACCTAAATTGATTCCCTGCAGCGAGAGAGCCAAGGCCTTATGCAATAAACTATATCTATTATGTATGATGTTAACCAGAACCATATTAAAGGCCTCTAATTTAATTAATTCATAGTAATAATGTAATTAGCATCGTTCAAATAATATAGATGATAACAAATTAAAATTCCGCGTAAAATCTGGTATTTATTTCTAACAACTTGTCATTGCTTAGCCTGAATTATGACGAATTTTCAACAAGAAAAGAATGACTAGTGAAGTAATGGTAAAATCAATACATTATTCATCCTGGTAATGACCCGATAAATAAATTATTCACTCCGTTTTCATTTGTGTGTCAGTGTACACGCTCAGGTCGTGAAACTGACTGTTGCTTCTAACCCCGTTCGTCGTAATCCTATTCCTCGAAAAAACGTTATAAACTACGGCAAATATACATTGAATGTGTTAATTTTAAATTAATCTTCAAAGCGTTTACAATTTAACAAATTATTTACCTCTCTTACTAATTTTATAATTACAGGCCATTATCTCTAGATCTAAACGTACTTTACGATGTATTTTATCATCCCCTTTCTTATTGTACTCATTTTATAATTGTTAGCCATTTACCCCTTAGTACCTTACAACACAACACCTTTTACCCTCCTTTTACTTCCTGAAATTATTTTATAATTGTTAGCCATTTAGCTCTTAGTACCTTTCAACGTCTTTTATCCTCCTTATAATTCATGTAATCATTTTATAATTGTTAACCATTTAGCCCTTAGTACCTTATAGCTTAGTACCTTATAGTAACCCTTTACTTCCTGTAATCATTTTATAATTGTTGGTCATTTAATCCCTAGTTTGAAACGTACTAATAGTACGTTTCTATGCCTTTTACCCTCCATTTTATTCTTGTACTCATTTTGTAATTGTTAGCCATATAATACTTACTACCTTACGATGACCTTAAAACCTGCACGCACGGTGCTCATTTTATAATTGTTGGTGTTAGTCCTTAGTAACTTACGAAACCTCTCACACTCCCTAATCCCTTTTCTTCTTGTTCTCATTTTCTAATTTCACGACCAGTTTTGCCACTCGTTATAATCTTATCTCACGTCACTTCTCACTTTCCCTTGACTTCCTGTTCTCATTTTCTCTCGCACGACCAGTCTTGCCATTCGTTATTAACTTTTCTTACGACACCTTTCACCCTTCCTTTACTTCCTGATCTCATTGTCTAATTTCACGACCATTTTTGCCACTAGTGAACTTTATGATTCATTATCCAAGTGACAAATATTGTGATATTATTTTGTTTATGTATATGATTTAGTTGTAATAGTGAACTTTATGCTACATTAGCTGAGTGACAATTATTGCATTATTATTCAGTTTATACGAATTATTTATGTAAAATCTGATGGCGTGCCTTACTAAGTATGGTATTATAAGTGCAGTATTTTTCTCTTTAATAATATGATATACAAGAAAAATTAGGCACCGAACACGCAGAAAAATAACGGGCCATTTTGTCCCAATAATGGACAAAACGCACTGTCTAACCCATAACACAGAAGAAAGCTAGCGCAGCATCGATACGCAATTTTATGCAATTTTGTCGTTCCAAGCTGTAGTAAGGATGACCTACACAAGGACAAAATGTGCATTATCATTTAGACAAAGACTCGCACATTTCTTTGAGTGATAACACTCAGATAAATCAGTGAGACTTTGTCCAAATAGTGATGCACTTTTGCTCTTGTTTTGGGCCATCCTAACCCATAAAGTGTGTCAGTATTTGGACAGTTTTGGACAGTTAAAGCTTCACTAATCCCACAATCAACAGGATGATCAAAATTTATAAGTTACTCCTCGAACAAAATTAGTACTTATGTGATGAGCAATAAAATCACCTGAATAAATTTCCTAACATATCTTTAGAAAAATGTTATTAAATTAATATTTTTAATAATTTTTCCAATGCATTTCTATCATTCTTCTCATGATGTAACGAGAAAAATATTTAGTTTGTTTCACGTTCACATTGTGTATATTTCTCAGGTTTATGTGATGTATTTTTCAGTAATCATTGAGCGTGAATTCATGCAAAATATACGTTCGATTCATTCATGTCCAAGTCATTCATGTAAAATATACGTCCTATACATCCAAGCACACAGTTACAATGTGTATTGATGAATAAATCACTCTGCACATAGCACATACATTTTGGAATGGGCATTCGATGAATATATCTTCTTCAGGTGAAAAATGTGTTCACGTGTAAATATGCAGCTGATTTGTGTTATTTAGTTCTCACTCACGTTTTCTGAAGCATATTCATTACACTACACATTTACTCACGTCAAGTTCATCGTTATAATTTCACGCTGTTTCATACATTTATCGTCGTTGAACGTTGATCCTATTTACCTTTATTTAAGCAAACTAGTTTAATAACTGTAAAATACATTATATAAGACAGATAATCTGATCACAAGCTGAAAGACTAGTATAAAGTTAATGTTTAAAAAAGTCATAGTTTAAAAAAGCTGTGCCATTTAATTTTATTCTACCATCTCTTATTTTGATTTAAATGAAAATAATTCCAACATACTTATTCCAAATATTTCCTATCGACAAACTTCAAACGGTAGTTTTGATAAACCCTACAGAAATTGCCTCATTGGAAAAGTTTGTCTTTTCGATCCTTACAATGAAGATAACCTCTCAATTAAGTGTACTTTTTTTTAAATACAAAACTTTTACTTTACTTTTTTTACTTTTTTTTATTTTTGAATTCAAAATGACAATTCTAACCATTGCTACCCTCAACTAACACAACATAAGTGAACTACTTAATGCTTTTTTTAAATTATATGAAGTGCCGACATCAAATCCTTTGAGTATAAAAAAGTTTTACAGCCTTATTTTATGATATAACAAATATCGTCCATTGCAGCCTCAATACCAAGCAAATTGAAGTTAATCATGTTATAAAGTCTCCTAGATTGATAATCTCTCAATCACTAAATTTACAGCTTGATTCTCGTCTGATTCTTTCAAAGTTTTACAGTTGTTTCTCCTGTTTCAAGATAGAAGGCATAAAGTCTATACCGTATATCGAGTCTGACCCGAATTAACACTATCACCTCACAAGTTATATAATGTCTTCTGTTTTAACGAGTTGATCCCATATTCACCACCACCACTTCACATGATATAAATTATGTCTTGTTTTATCGAGTCTATCCAGCGTTCACCAACATCACTTCAGAAGTTATAAAGTATGTCACGTGGTAACAATTTTGTCCCGTATTCACCACCATCACCTCACAAGATACAAATTATGTCCCGTTTTAACGACTTTGTCCCGTATTCACAACATCACTTCACAAGATACAAAGTGTGTCCCGTTTTATCGAGCCTGTCCCAAGTTCTAAATTTTGTCCCTGATGGTGACGAGAACGCGTCTGTTTGTCCCTAGCTTCACTCGTGCTATGCAACAGAGCGAGATCCGCCGTGTACGACCAACAGGTAAAACAGTCGTCTTATCAACATCGTCGATCAACAGCTGCCGAGCCTTCTTTTCACCCTAAAACAAAACCCAAAATTGCAGTTCTCTATTGTTTGAAATTTAATCATGAATGTTTAAATAAACTTTGCACACAACGAATTTAAATTAAGTACACAAGTAATGTTAAGTGTTCGGCCAAATTATGAAAAACTGCATTCGTCATGCCGTGATACAAAGTTAAATTTTGCAAATAAAATTTTAGTGAATTGACAGTGAAAAAAATTACATCATGACCACGTTTTCACAGTAAATATTTTTCATAAGTCCCATGCGCTCAAATAAATAGTTATCCGCAAATTGTAAATATTGCGCTCGAATACCTTGAATACTAAACCCTGACTATCATTATATCTTGCCGGCAATAAGTTGCACTCACTATATATCCAGTTCATAATTTATGCTGAGTATATAACATCGGTTTAATATTTCCTACCGTGCAAGTATCATGATAAAAAATAAGCATGCCACAGTAGACATACGATTTTAATGCTAGAAAGTCTTACAAATACTTTTCCGTGTTAGTTCTGGACAAAAAAGTTTTGATTTTAATGAACTATGAGATGAAGAACTTTAGAAAAACTATAATATAAAAAACTATGAGAACTCCTAACTATAGTTTATATATTTTTAAATATTATGTTGTCCCAAACGCCTGCCTGAGACACACAGGGTTAATTAAAGAAGGCTCGCTGGTCTGTGGTCGCAATGTAGTCCCGCTCTGCTGTCTATGCGCTTGCTCTGAAATTTTTCTGTCCCTTTACTAATTAACGTAACTCTCCCTTGAGACCCCCAGAGAGCTGTAATAAGTTTGTGATTGTTTTCCTCTTCCACTAACTCGACGTGAATTTTGTGTGTTGAATTACAACGGCCCACTTGCGTTTCTTCTGTGAACAATTTTTCAACTCGTAGCAGCGCTACTCTTGCTTGTGATGTTTCACTGTCGTAATATTGTACTGCAAATTCCGGCCACAAATTAGGTATTTTATGTACTTGCTCTTGTTCACATGAAATAAAGTTCTTTCATGCACCTGGGATTGGGTCTAGAATGTTCTGTACATGCTTTTGGTAAAATTTGTTTCGCACCAACACTTCGTTACAAGAGGGATAAAATCTGCCGTATTCTCCTGTACGTTCAGTTAAAAAAAAACATTGTCTGCATCAATAAGAAATTTATAATACGTGTAAAATGTTATAATTTCTCGCGTCAAAACCTTTGAAACTGTTTAACAAATGAACGAAACGCTTCGATTTTTTCCGTGAAAATAAAGACATTATTCAGACTTTCCAAAAATTATAATTGTGTCATTAATCTTCCAATTTATGATATTGAGACGCTTAATTTTCTCAGTAATTCCAGGGTAGTTAAGACAAATACATATAATATTAATTATTTGTTGAAAAATTAAGACTGTTATTCAATTTTTCTGCAATAAAATAACTTCAAAGTTGTTTTAAGGTTTTGAGTAAGCCATTCGTTTCATTTAACTTCTAGCGGGAAATAATAGTAGATTTTACAAAAGAAAGTCCATGCTGTATTGAAATAAAATTAAGATTTAAAATTCATTTTTAACTTAATTTACTTGTGTTTTTTCCAGCACACTGAGTGATGTCTACGAAAAGTAATCAGACAGTTTTTGAAACAGAGAAGAACTCATCTGTTATTGCAATGTGCATATATATGGCTTATCACTGTATTTTTACGACACTTTGTGTACCAACACACGCACCAATTACCGCTAATTACTGTATCAATTTTAATTATGCACACAATTGTTTAGATAACTTCACACATTATTTGCATTACTATTGTCTGCACTCCCGGCGCACTCACGATATCACCATTTTCACTTTCTACACCATTTCACCATTTGCATTTTCCGATATTTTCATCACCTAGCACACTTGTTATACAATTGGTCAATGTGATTATGTTATTTATTTGAGTGGAATTGGTCTCGTTTCATTTAACAGATTCTTTGAACAAAGACGAAGTTTCCTCGTATATATAGTAAGCTACGTTATTTTGTAGGGCGACTATGGAGATGATAGAAGGTCTATCCTGCAAATGATGGGGATGATCGAAGGTCTATCCTGCAAATGATGGGGATGATCGAAGGTCTATCCTGCAAATGATGGGATGATCGAAGGTCTATCCTGCAAATGATGGGATGATAGAAGGTCTATCCTGGAAATGATGGGATGATCGAAGGTCTATCCTGCAAATGATGGGATGATCGAAGGTCTATCCTGCAAATGATGGGATGATCGAAGGTCTATCCTGCAAATGATGGGGATGATGAAAGGTCTATCCCGCAAAGGATGGGATGATCGAAAGTCCATACTGAGAATGTTACTGATGATAGAATGTTATTCCTGTAATTGATGGTAATTAGAAAAGTTCACTCCTGAAAATAATTCTTCGAAAATTTAATAATACAAAAATACGTCATCAAAATGAACCGAAAATCTGACCCACAGTTATTTTTAGAACATATTTAATCAAAATTTAATGAAGCAATGATTTGTCAACTTTAAACCCAAAGAATAATTTAATTTAATACAAATAAATAGCAGATCACTAATAGTATAAGTTTGAGTTGAACATTTTCTGATAAATTTCGAAAAGTTACTTTCAAATGAGCAAAAATGTTCAAAAACTTTAGGGAATCTTTGAATTTTAGTTGCATTAAAATTATTTAATTTTCAACATTTTACAGATAAATTTGTCATTGAATCTGTATGAGCTAAATAACCGAGAACCTCAATTTAATTTCCTCTCTAAAATAGAGTATGGTTCCAAGTTCAATTAACAACAACATTCGTCGTTTGAAGTGGAACAAAACTGCCACATGAGCACCCGTTTTTCAAGGATTTATTGGATTAAGTTGGTATTTTCTAGCATCAAAAAAATATTAGAATCATCTAAATCTAATCATTATCTAGCATCAAAAATAAATGATTTCTGAAGAGTAAGAAACGGTTTGAAAATGCCTCTTGAAGAGGAAAAAATGGTTTTAGAATGCTTCACAAAAAGGAAAAATGCTTTGAAAATAGATATTTTGCGGGTAAAAAATTGTTTGAAAATATCCATGGCCCTCAAACAGCTATAAAATTGAACAAAATTGATTAATTATAAATAGATACAGCGCTTGTTCTTCTCTATATAAGAATGCCAATGTGATTTCATAATTGTTTTCGAGCCATTTTTTCTTCATAAAAAATACTATTTTGCCGAGGATGATTGTTAATTAAAATTCTGAAATACTGGTACGTTAGTCGTGTTATATTATTATTTTTCATGGCGAATTCTAGCTGCGGAACTAACAATATTTCTGTGGGCAGATACACAGCAAATGGCCGATCGTTTTACCACCGTGTAATATTATAACTTTTATCTCGCCGTTTCTTTTACAGAATAGCGCAATCTGACACGGTAACTTCTATGGCAAAGTTGACGTTATTTGAATGTTAGTCACCCCGTTATTTTATTATATTGACTGCTATAACTCGGTCCCTGTACAATGTTGTTATTTTTCCCCCAAATTCGATGTTCATTTCCAATCGAATGTGATAGAAGCCACGACCGTAGGTCGTATGACACGAACTACATGCTCAAAAATGTTACGATGTTCATTAAATGTTCAAAAAATGTTCGTTAGTTCTACAACAGTAATGAATGGATCTGTTATCCACGAATATGTAATTAGTATTCATAGTTCTGAATATAATTACAGATATAATTAGTATTCATTACGACATCGTAATCATTTCTGAGTATCTTGTCCTTATTTTGTGTAGTAATCGTAGACGAGCAACCCAGGTGAATTATGTTCAAACAACTATGAACTAATTAGTCCCGTTCTACTTTTTAAGATTGTATAACCCTCATAGACTCGACGAAAATTTATATACTATCCGACATAATTTTTTAAATCCACACTAAACATTTTTTCTTAAGATAATAAGAAATTTTATTGTGGTTTTCTTAGGCATGTGTTTTAACTCCTATGAGAACACAGATTTTTTTATAGTTATTGCATCAAAAATGAAATGATTGATTGTTTCCCTAAGTGAATCCGTATTTTTATAGTAGGTAGTTCTTTTAAATAAATATTCTGAATTGACAGAGTCATTTTGCAAAAAGTTTAGGCGTTGAAAAATACGGTAGTTTTAATTAGATTGGTAGTACTGTAATAAGAATAACAATACGGTTATAATTTGATTGATAATTTACAATATTTCCTAATATTCGTGCCGAAATAAATCATTTAAGAAAAGTTGAATGGATAATAATCTAATAATAATAACGTTTGCCATGCTGTGATGTATAATAAAGTCAAATTCATCACGCGATTATTCTTTGCATGAGTTCTATAACATCAGGTTATTCATCAAACAATTAAATGTATGAAAAGTCTTCAGCTAAAGTATTCATGCATTTTTTAAACGCTAAATACTCAGCAATATTGGAAGAAAGCAAAAGTAGTCAAATTCGCTTAAACTTCATCCAAAAATTGGGAATTATAATTTAATATATTCTTTGTTAAGTTATCAGAGCAAACAATGTTGTTCTTCAAATAATAACTCGATTTTAGGTTTATGAAGCTTAGTTTACAGGGTAAAGTGTGTTAAAATGAAACTTTTGAAAAGAATACTTATGATAATCCACATAAAAACTTTCTTCTGTGGAACTTTTTAATCCCAATTTAAAGCATTAAATATACCCGTAGTGCCCTAGAATTTACCCACATTGTCCCTTGCTTGTGAATTCGTTTCTACTCCCCATTCAAATCAGATTTTTAAACAAATGGATGCACAAATATTCCATTTCAACTAATGTTTATACTTCAAATTCGTAAATTTAGCGCTTTTTGTGTGCATTTTCAATAATCCATGATCGTTTCCATCAATTTATGCGCCACCGTAGATTTATATTAATATTATATAACTTGTCCGCTTTTTTGAGTTTTCAGTCCGGATTTAAGAGTCAACGTGAGGCAAATAGAGCACTAATATCCCTCAATTCAAATGATTAATATCCCACTAGGCGATATTAATCATTTGTGATTTAATCATATAGTGATTAATATATAATATCCCTTCAAAATCATACGATCCCAATCTCGATTCCTTCTTGTATGCTTGGAATATGCAAATTTTCCTGCGCCTAACTTTCGTTTAAACATTTTTCGTGCCCTTGATGACCCATTGTTATATTTCAAGTTATATTGTCTTCATTATCTTTTATATTTTCGTTCATGTAGCTGAATACTGGATTCTTGTTTAAATACCACCATGCATATTTTTTCGTTATAGAATTCAAGTTATATTGTAAAAAAATTTGCAGACCCTTTTGTAGGCATATTTTTTACAATTATAATTAATAATTATCATTTAAAAACTCTTACTTAATTATTATTAATACGTACAGATTGAAAATTTTTCTCAGAAATTATTTAGCTTGTTGAAAATCATTTAATTTTGAGTAAATTTGAAAAGAAAATTTGTCAGCATAAACAATGGAACAAAATTTAGTATATTACACAAGATGGCGAGATCATTTTTTATCTTCCATTTTAGAATTGAGCCAAAGTTACATGAATTGGGCAAACCCGTCATTAAACACAACTAGCAATTAAAAAATTCCAAAATTGTGTTCGCATTTTTTTCACAGCTTCTGAAAATTATATAACAACTAGACAAAAATTGGAAGGTCCTGTGGTTTTAGGATAGCTCGTAAGAACTGCCTTTCATCCCTCGAATTGAAATTAATTTTAAATTATAACATCGCATAATTCTTAAGCAGAAAATGCGCGGTGCAATTGAAGCTCTTATGAAGTCAACTGTTGCAAAATATTTTATTGATAATCGAATAATTATGGGACGTTCACTCTCTGATTTTATGTTCCTGTTTCTTTCCTCTAGGCGGTAGACCCTAAACTTGTAGGGTCTGAAATTGAACATGAGTAAATCCTAGACGCCCTCGACTTTAAACTTTTTGGGTCTGAAACTGAACGTGATCAATTCTAGACGTACTCGACTACATACTTTTAGCGTCTGTACTGAACGTGATAAACTCTAGACGTACTCGACTCCATACTTTTATGGTCTGAAACTGAACGTGATAAATTCTAGACGCACTCGACTTTAAACTCGTTGGTTCTGAAATTGAACAAGAAACCCTAGATTTTTTGAGCTCTAAATTTAGCACGACATGACCATAGAACTTAGGGGCTTCTAAGCATTCTCGACTAGTCACGTCGAAAATTTATAATAATTGATTTATCGTTGTCGAAAATGAATAATTACAAAAAAAAAAAACAGAATAATGGCAGAATATGAGTTGAATTTAATCACGACCAAGTGACCGACGAACATGCAGCGTTAGTTACGACTTAGTGCCAAATCGAATGTCATATAAACATATAACTTTATTGTTGACAATTAACGCGACTCATCACAATTTGACAGGTGACAACGATTTCATCTGGGGATAAAGATTTCATTTCAAGTAAATTTCATTTATTACAATTTGCCGACACCAATATATGAAGACGATGCCCGTTATGTTTTAGTAACGGTGCAAATGACTGGTACAAAGATGCAGTTATATAAAAAACATGAATAACTGAAAATGACGTCAGTTACATACTAGTGACAGCTCGGGAGGACCTGGGCAGTGGTCAGCCACTAGTGTCATGGTAACTAACAGTCTGAAATTTATTCCCTTCCATCCGTACGCTCTCTTCCTTCCCTACTATTCTTCTTTGCTGCTTATAGTCTGTCTTGCCTGCTCTTTTCCACTATTTCATTGATAATTAATACGTAACTTACGATTGTTGAAAATTTTATTAATGCAAAACGTATGTATTATGACCTCAGTATCGGAAACCTAACAACATTTTTTTCACATTAGTTTTTTTCATTCGTTTTTTTCATTTTTTTTATATCGATGATGACGATAAGTGGGCCTAAACTTTGCTTTAAACTCAAATTTTTAAGTCTATGTTTACTATTGAATTCATTGAAAAAAAATTTTATGGCAATTTTTTGCTGAACTCCTTTGATTTTCTTGAAAATGTGCTTAATTTTTCGATATAATTATTTGAATTGCTTTTGTCCCGAACATTAATACAATATGATAAGTGTTTACTAAGATTCTTTCTACCATCTACTTCGTGTCTGAAAAATTTTATTTTTTGCCCACAACTTTAAATTTGCAAAAATATAATTTGAGTGAAGATAACCTCTTGGACTAGGGTAGGAATCACTGTTTATTTTCGGCCCAATTACATAGATCTGAAAAAATTCGCAATATTTTGTTTTTTTTCCGAATTATTCTGTACGCAGTATTTTAAAATCATGCTAAATCATCATGCAAATCCTATCCGCTACCCAAAAGATAAATATTCATACGTATAAATTTTAATGGTCCAGAGAAAATTTCCTCACCTTTTTTTTGTCGCCAATTCTGCATGCTTGAATAACGTGTTCGTGCGTCACACGGTTAATTCCAAGTTAACCGTGTTCTATTTTCATTTCCTCTTCCTTTATATTATATGAACTGATAATATATACAAGCTTTTTTTTTCTTTGAACTTGTCTCTGATCCTGATCCATATTTCCACTTTATTTCCTCAAGCTAAAATTAGCTAAAATAACTGGGGATTTTACCCGGAATTGAAGTAAAAATTTTAATTTATTATCATAAAATATAACCACAGACAATTCATAATCGTAAGATTTTATTAATTCGGAAATAAACATTCATGAAAATATATTTGCGTTCAACTAAATTTGTTTTTCCACCAACAATATAACTTTTATGTTTTGTTTTTCCCTTTGCATCTCATTAATGTTAAGCATGACTAACTGTAATTAGTTAACTTGACGAAATTCTGCTTTCAGGAGCATGTAAATTGATTCATTTGTAGACCAGTAGTCATTCTTTCCATTGATTATAATTGTAACTTTCAATATTTATTTTTAATTTTAATTATTTTCCGGCTAAACAAATGTTCGGAAATAAGCGGCACGGATCTAAAATTATTAGGATTATTAGTAGGATAGTTTTATTAGAAAAACATAATCAACAAACCTGCATTCGTTGTGTAATTAATTTTTTTCAATGATGCCTATATTAAACTGGGTCCGAGTTAGAATTTTCTTCCTTACGTTGCTGATGACTACAAACTTATTTCAGGATAATCCTAATCTTGGAATGACAGAAATCTTGAATGCGGAATGCATAACGTTTCTTTCATTCATTCATTCATTTTCGATTGCCAGTTCAGGGAAATAAAGCATTCTTTTGCTGTATATTCGTTTAACAGTGGTTTACCGTTAATCTGTAATTTGACGTTAACCATAACAATACACCGTTATTTGGCTAATATTATTGCTGAGTTAACTAGTGTGTTTCAACCCATGGACGCACTTTTGTTTGATCACTGTTTATTCGTTATACATTAGCAATATTTGTTATTAATTTGCGAATGGAAACATGAAATTTCTCTTCTATTCTGCTTATTCCGTTTCCTTGCATGTTTGGCATCGAGTCTGCATCAATTTTCTTACATCTATCTTTCCTTATTTATTTACTTACATAATATATTTATTCATTATTTTCAGTTATATTTAATAATTTTTAGAAAATTCTATCTATTCTCACGAATTTGTCTTGTTTTTAAGGGATGTTTGACATTGTTGATTCACTTAAAAAAAGTCGTTCTATTCAGACATGCACGTGCAAGCCAAGACTTTGTCAAACATCTCTATATTTTTTTGAGTGAACTTCCCATAACACGGAAAACTTTCAAAACTTTGAGCTATGCAACTTCTTCGATGAGACTTTACATAGAAAGCTTTCGTGGTTGTTGTCAAGGGATATTTTCATGAACTAAGAAATATTTTAGGAACTTTATGCTTTTTATTGAATTTAAGAAACGTTTTGCTTTTCTCTTCCAGAATTCTGTCAAGAAATTTTTTAATGTATAGCGAATTCACATAACGAATGTTATGCTACTCAATGTATTCAACACAAACGCCTTTTATATGACCAATGATAATTTTTAATGCGCATAGTTTCATGCGATTAACATTGATCTGATGTTGTAAATGTTATTGCTTACTACATTTTAACTATTTTCATCAAAGCATGTTTCGGAGCAGTGGAAGAAAGGGTTTTTTTAATGCATTCACATGATGTATATTGAGGAATAATTCAGTATTTCATGGGCCAATTCATTTCCAAGATGAAGTACAGAAATTATGCTGAGCTCTAGCTTCCTTCGACTCAAATGGCCACAAAACCCGATAGCCTAATTTACACGAACCATAAATATTGTATTTGCGAGTCTCTTGTTTTCCTGCTTAGATACTGCACCATTATTTTACTCTTGTGCATGCTTCAGCTTTAGATCACCATGTCGCATTTGCCAGCGCTTGCTTCCTATATGAGACTCAACCAAATGTTCAAATTAGAGTAAAAATCAGCTGAGGTATACGAAATATGCCTGGCGTCAGTATTTAAAAGAGAAGTTTTGGAACGAGTTCCAGTTCCCTCATTATTCTAGTACAAATAATATGACATTTGCCCAAAATCTTGATTTGAGCATCGACAGCGCCATTTTTGTCATTAAAATTATAGAGTTGTGACATAAAACGCTTTATTTCGGTAGAAATTTCGAGGTATTCAGATTGGTAGATCAATTCTTCATTTCTTTAGAGCTGTATAACAAGTGTTTCAAACCTAATACAAATTTTGTTTAAACACTTTTCAGCCTCAGCGGTACTCGACTTCAGACCGAGACGAGCACCTGAATGAGATCAACGTGAGAGATAAGACCTTGTTGAACACCCCTCTCACCAACCGCACTAACTGGCCAAATAAAAACCAACTCGGGGCCAGAGGTAGTTCCTTTTTCGGTGGATTTGGTGGAGGAGCAGAAGAGAGCAGTGGAGATGAAGGGCTTGGAGGAGTAGGAGGTGGTGTTAAGGGTTCTGGAAGTGGAGGTAGTGGGGGTGTAACTAATAGTTTACTAGATGATTCCGAAATAGTAGAGGAAGAAATTGGAATTAGAGAGCTGCAAGTTAAGACGAAAGAAGGTAACGATAGAGGAGAGAAAGCCATGACCATGACTTCCCAATTTCATGATCCACTTTCTGTCCTTCCTCCTGCTCTTCCTCCCTCTAACTCTTCCTCCAGTGCCAAATCTGGTAAAATTACTACCACTGGTGGATTCGGTGGAGCACCATCCGCTTATTCTGAATCGTCAACCAGCTCAGCCGCAACTCGACCCGTCACAAATACAACCAAATTCGGTGGACCCTTACGAAGTGAATATTCCCAAGGTTCAACCGGCTTTGGTTCACCAGTGATCTGTACAACCGGGTTCAGCAGTCCTTTGATTCCAAGGGCTACTTACACAACAGGTTTAGGAGCCGCTAAAGGACCCGGTGGGAGTGTTTTTCCACGCACGAACCCATCCGAGAGCCGGTTTAGCGGTTCATATTCGAGTGGTTCTCCTGGTTCAAGGCAACCATCGGGGACACAAGGTTTCAAGCCAACGGAAATCGTGAACCTATCATCGCCGCCACGGAGCGCCACTAATGTTGCTGCTACGATCTGTGAAGCCAGAATCGTGGATATACCCAAACCAGAAGCACCCACCATGCCCCCCGGCTCTCCCAACCCCGGGCAGTTGGGGGTACTCAGAATATCCTCCTTGTAGGAGTGATGACTTAAAGATGAAATCAAAGCTTAATACAATTAAGATAAGTTTAGGGACAGAACCATATATGTGTTATACCCGTTCATTCCTTACCCATACTTTGTTCCGAATCAAGCGCTTGACATAAATTGCTTTATTTAAGGTCAGGCTTTTATGGCTTGTCGCTAAGACTATACAATTTTATACGAGCTTCGTAGGTGAATTTGAAGCAAACGTGTAAAGTTTGCTTAAAATAATCAATTTGTTAAAGCGATTTTCATGCCATACTATTTCTACGAAATAGCTTTGTTCTAAGGTGAGGCTATTGATAAGGATCTTCAAGAATCTACCATTTCTCTACATTTTTAAAATTGTTAGAGAAATTCCAGGAAAAATTTTGTGTGCAGTAGATTTTTCAAGAATTCTTCAACGATTCACAATTCTAGTAATTAGTCTTGTGCTGACTTAAACATTAAATAGAAATCCTACACCTTTGTCTCAGAAAAATAAATATAAAGAATGGATGTATGACGTGACTTTTTGTGTAGATTTTATTTTGGACTAAACCTTGGAAATTTTTGGGTTGAATGCGGTTGCACAATCTTTTCAGCACAGTAATATTGACTCGTGAATATTCGACAAAGCCACCTTATTTGTCCAATAATTTTATTATGCATTTCCTAAGAACTGGATAATTCATTTGATTAATCCACCATTCTATCACTGCATCCATACAATTGCCACATTCTACTCTTAAATTTTTAATCTAGGTTAAAATCTTTACCTGATTCAATTATTTCCAATCATACCTTTTTCAAATAGTTATAAATCAATGTTCAACATTAAATATTATCTTCATTTCGGCTTGACATGCCAGCCAAATTACAGTGCTTCGTTCTGGATGAAACGGTTGACTTAACGTTTAATTAATTGAAACCATCTTATAATTAGCCGATACAATATCAACTGAAAGCGCTTATTTTTTTGCATTAAATTGCGTGGTATTTACTACAGAAAATTTTTCATTGAAGATTGGAAAATTAATTTTCATATTTTTCTAATTAATAAATTAATTTCGACCATTCGTTTATATACTTTAGTTTTTGTCGATATACTATAATCAATTATTTAAACGTTTTTTAAGTGCATCTTTTGCGACATTTTTTCCACGTACGCGACATTTCATTAAATTTCTCCTTTCAACAAATTACATATTTTTATTAACGCACATTTTTCTCATTAATGGTTTCGAAAATTTGTAAATTTAGCTTTCTTATCTCCATTTTAACTTTTTCAATAAGAATTTTTCCAGAAAAGATCTACAACTTTTTGCTTACACTTAATTTCAATCTCGAAGCACACATAAATCCACCAGATTCAGGAGGCAAAAACCAAAACTGGTCTAATTTCATTTAATTAATTCTAGGCCAATACTTTATTAAGAAATAACTAATAACGAATAAATATTTATTCTATTTCTTCCTATATTAATGTAATAAAAAAAATTCCCACAAATGTTTTTATGAGAACTTCTGTCCCATATTTCAATTCAAATTAAAACTCTATTCAGATCAAGTTTTGTATTGAATGATTTCATTAATGATAGATTTCATTTGGTAAAAATTTTGCTTCTGATAATTGACTTTGAAAAGGAATTCATAAAAAAACACCAAGTATTTTTTGGCACCAGAAAACTCGTTCCGCTTAATTTCGCAGTAAATAATAATCAGTAATCTTTGGACCGATTTTTTTAAAATCAAAATTAGGAAATTAGTCTCTAGTTCGATTTACTGAAAAGGCGAAACGATTCAGTCGAAATCTGTTTATTCCAATTTAAAAATGGATCGAGATGTGATTCGATTCAATGATCCTCATCGGTGTTTCGTACGATGTTTATAGCTTTTAGAATAGTTAGAGTCCCCGTGTCTGTTGATGTAGTCTGTTAAACAGTCTTCATTTCATGTTTATACGTGCAAAAGCTGTTAATAGAATGTACGTTCTCTACTCTGTACAGTAGGCAGCGTTTGTTACAGTAGCTCTATAAGATATATTGTTATGTAAGTATATATGCTATCGTCCATAGTCGCTAATGGCAAATTTAACCTGTTTTTGTTGACCTTTTTCTTATAAATGTCTCTGCATCTTTCAGGAATCCTTCACGTTATACATTTCATCTTACATAATTATACATTTATAATTTCATCTTTACCAAGGATAACTATAAAATCTTCGTTCAGTTTTTGCCTTCATGAATTTCGAACAAAATACTCCGTATTGATTAAAACTGAAATTGTCAATAAAATAAAACACGTACCTAATAAAAGTTCAAGGTCAATGAAAGCAGGCTCTTGTTTGCCACCATGCCCAATCGTCACTGTTTGCCCTTTATTTTAATTCTATAATTCTAACTATTCCCTAATACGATTAGGTATTTCTTCCATGGTTATAATGCCGTAATTTCAACATTTTTTCATAAGAACCCCATTGCTTCAACACCCTTTCGTTTCAATGCTAAAGCTTTTTTCTTTACCTTTCAATAACTGTACATAATAGAAAATTCTTGAACTTGCAACTTGCGCAATGGCTGAAAACTTTAGGGGCTAAATTTTCAGTCATGCTTTTCTGGAGGCAACGGTGGTATGAGATTTTTTATAGATTATTTTTGATCTAACACGTCGCTTTGCATACGGTCATTGCCTTCCCTAGTTATTTATTCAGAGGCCGTTATGAGATTAAATAAACCGAGGCCTCCGTTATGAAGAAAAAGTTTAATTTTCTTATACTTCGTCGAATACCAGAAAATTATTGCATCGGTCTATGCATATATACTTACAAAAAAGCAATCGGATAAGCAAGAAATAGAACTTACTGTAATTCTGCTGGAAATATATCCATGATAACAAAATGATAACGTTTTTGCAACTTAAGTTTAATTATAAAGAAATTAATCATATTGATTATAGAAGTAGTATAACGTACAATTTAAAATTTTTAACGTTTAAATGAACTGAACTCATTAATAAACTATAAATGAGATTCCAGATTATATCATAATCGTATCATCTGGAATTCCAGTATGTTCTTATTTTTCGCAATAAGCAACTTGAAAATTAATTCTTTATTTTGATTAATGTTATTATTTTAGCAAATTCTATTTTATAAAAGGAAACACTTGATCTGATAATCTTAGAATTTTCTCTGTGACTAATTTAAAAAATTAAAAAGCTAAACACTATTTCAGATCAAAGGGATTAAAACATAATAATCTTTTCATTAAAATTCTGTATATTTCATAGAGCCTTGAACATTTACCCTTGTTGCCCTATATCCAAGACTACACTTTATTTACTGTAAATATTTGCATAGTCTTTGATACGATGTACTCTAAGAAATCCATCATATTTAAATAATCCAAATAGGATTTTCTCAGAATTTCTCCACTCTTTCAATTTTCGAAGCATTCAAGAAATCGCTTGTGTAAATGGCTTGTCTTTGAATATTTTTCCCATTTTATTGGGGTTATAGTTGACATTAATGCAAATTTTACGTACTAAAATTAAGTATTTATGGGAATATTTGACCAATCGTGAGTGTTTTTGACCAAGATTTTCTACCCTGTGAATTTGTTTTGAATTTGTGAACTTCATCTAATACTCTAGCACAAGTTTTCAGCTTACCAGCCATTTCTTTGATTTTTTCCAGACATAAACACTGAATAATGCTAGCAGCATGAACACATGTTAAAGTGATTACCGAAAATATCGCACGATTTTTTTATCGTCTCATCACCTGGTCATTCATCAAAGAATATAAATTTTTCACGGTTGAACATTATCCGTATTCATTAACGAAGCATTTTGAAGGCAATGATTCAATATTTATAAATTTGCTACGAAATATATATATTACGTAAAACCTTGCAGAACTTTTTCGATGCAGCTCCCCGTTGAAAATATTCATATTTTATAAAATTTAACTATGGATACCACTTGGCAGCATAAGCAAAGAGTTTTTAATGAAGTAACTAACGTTAATTTCAGAGGATGTTTGTGTTAGAACTACAGCGTATTGCTCCTTAGTCCTCTTGAAAGTAAAAAAAAAGTACTTCACATCGATATCAAATTTTATTAAATGCCTGAAACGCAACTAAAACTGGGAAAACAACATTAATATATTTCAAAGCACCCCTAATGCAACGAATAAATTTCGTTGGCTGCATATTCAAAAATTTAAAGGATGCTTATTGAATTTGTATTGTTATTTAATTCATCGGAGTGCAATGTGTTTGCCATGGGCTGGCTTCATTCAACCTTTTCAATGATCGGATCCTGTGGCCATCGTAATTTTGCGATAATCGTAGAACCTGCGATTTTTCAGAAACGGAGATAATCGTAAATCTTGCGACCGTCGTAATTTTGCGATAATCGTAGAACCTGCGATTTTTCAGAAACGGAGATAATCGTAAATCTTGCGACTGTCGTAAATCTTGCGATCATCGCAAGAACCTGCGATAACTGCAGAACTTGCGAATATTGCAGGACCAGAGATCATCTAGAAAAAATTTTGAGTATGCAGCCGATCGAAAATAGTAAGTTTGCATGATTACTTCAAAAATGATAATAACGAAATTAGTTTGAAGAGGATCTGACTCGCATTTTCTGCAGTTGGCGTATAAATTTTTCCTAATTAGATACTTCTTCCAGCTCTGAATATTTTTTGTCCACATATAAAATGTAGAAAATGCTCTAAAATCCGCCTAGAATTGTTATTATTTCAATTTAAAGATAGCTGTCTGAGGGGAAAATCAAATGTCATTTGTTTCTGGCTTTCGCCTAGAAGTTTTATTTGAAATTGTAATGATAATCGTTCCTATGTTATTTAATTTGAATGTAGTTTTGTTATTGTGGCAAATATTATTTTAAATGTCATCTTGTTATTATTCAGAGTATTATTTTAAATGTTATCTTGTTATTGTTCGAAGTATTATTATTATATGTGTAATAATTAAATATTATTATACATGTTATCGCTACTGTTGTTTGTTTCCATTCTTTACATTGATGGGTGAAAAGCAAAATTTATGCGATTCGTTCATTTTTTCTGAAAACGCAATAAAAAAACTTATAAGATTTTCTGAGAAAAAATTGATAAGAGATTTCGTTATCATTATCCGATGCAAGTGCATACAGAAACATTTTTATTAAACATTTCCTCTGAAAATTTTCATGCATCACGTCATTTGCTTTTAAATATTTTCCAATGTTAACAAAATTTCAAAAGAATTAACTTATTTTAATGGCTATGGAATCAGAATATATCGTTTATGAAATGTAGTCGAACGCCAGTAAATATAATTTTCATCGTTTGCATCCTGAAATAGTAAGCTTTCTCTAGGATTTTTGTAATTCTATTTAGGTTTACCAATTAATGTTTCATTCTAATCCAAGCAGTTATAAATTAGCAGGATGGTTATTTGAATGTATCTTGCACGGCTGATTGGTTAAATCAACTTAAGATCGCTGAGGCAGTAAATATTACCTCCATAAAAACGTAAACTTTTTTATTCTGCTATATTTTTTGCGTTTGAAAATTAGGGAGAAAGTTAAAAGCAAAAGTTTAAAAAGAAACCACCGTGTGATATTCATTGAAAAGTACTGCATAGAATTAAAAATCAGGATGTTATTAATTAACAGCTTAAAAACAACATTTCTGTTTCAAGTTGCGACATGAAAAGATCGTTTTGGTATCATGTTTAAATTTTACTCTAATGTTATGGCTTTTTTGACGATATAATTTAGAATACAAATTTGACTCGTGTTGGTAGTCACATACTAATGAATTTAACCGTTGCTTATTAAATGAACACCCAATTTACTTTAACCTGTAAGAAGATTTACTTCTTCTATATGTGAATTTACCAAAAAAAAATAGCGCTTGTAAAATCGAACACGTATTGATTTGAACTCTAACACTGATGTTTCAACATTCGAGAGATACGATATAGGCTTAA